ATCATTATTTACAATACCTACCCAGTAGACTGTGCAAATCTAACCTTCTTGTACAGTACACATACTTCCTCTTCCACAGTGACTGACTGCATCAGTATTCTTTAATGCTGAATGTCTCATGTTCAATAATAGCAATCAAAAACAACATGCGTCCAAACTAACATTTTTTTTTCTTTGAAAGATAAAGACGAGGGAAGGAAAGCCAAATAGTTGTGCTCATGCTGAATCCAGGGCTTGTAGTTCACCTGGACCCGAATTAGAAATCTCCTACCTTCTGAAATGCTTCCAGTTAGAACTGGGTGGAATGAAGCCACATGTCTCTGCTTTTAAGTGACGGTCACAGAGGGGTTCTATGGTTCTCAGATTATTTGCAGGATAGGCAAAGAAATCTCTTTATTCATAAGATAAAAATACTGTTCTTTCCCCTATCCATTTCTTCAAGAAAGCGAAAATAAAAAAAAAAATGATATCTAGAAATGAGGCTGCTGTGTTAACTGGTGTGTTGCTTGGTTGTAAATGAAGAGACAGTGGAAATAACCAATGGTTTAGGATGGAAACCAACTGTTAAACTGTTGGAGAAATCTGTTTTAAGGCAGTGAGACAGCACCATAGAAAATGTTCCTTCTTTCACTGAAAAGGCGCAAACAAATTAAAGCCCTAAAAAAGCCTTTTGTCAGTGTTGATTAATAATTAGTATAAAACTCTGGTTCAGGGAGTGGGCAGGTGGTTTGAAAAGACCACTGTGGGTAAAAACAACCTTATAAAACCCATGACTCATACACTAAGAGGAGAGCAGCTCGCTTGGGAAGAGCGCAGCGGTTAGAAGGAAGCTGGCCCTTCCCATTCGCCGCCGCCACCACAGTAGTGTTTTTTTCTGGTGGTTGCCCAATCCCCTTTGTGCTTCTGGAGAGGACTGGCCTCTTCCATTCATTCTGCCATGGAGTGAACACACACCACAAACACTACCGGAGCCCTGTCACCAGCACCATGCGGCACAAAGGCAGTGGCGTGGATCAGAAGAATGGACCCTGCCTGAGGAGGGCAGCCCCTCAGAGGAAACAAAAGAAAGGCACAACAAAAGAAAGGAAAAGGAAAAAAAAAAAGTAAGTCCTGCATTGTAAACTTTGAAAGAGGAAGAAACTAAAGTCCAGCCTGCTATCCCGTGTGCAATCAATCTACTCAGATGCCCTGTCCTTAGGGTCCTTTCCAGTTGTGCTATGGAGCCCTTGCTCATTTCATGGTTATAAAAATGCCTAGGAATAGAATAAACTAAGTTCCCATTTCAATTTAGCATCCTGGCCATTGCAACTTAATTCTGCTGCCTCCTTGGAGGCCACACGACTCTAGACTCTGGGTCAGGGCCCTGACAGGGGACTTTTCATACTGGCAGTGGTTTAGTGACAATACCTGTCTTTTAAAACACCTTTTAAAAGCATCGTCCTTCGCCTAACTCTTTTCACCCTTCAGAGGGTGGATTCAAGAGATGAATCCAGAATGTCTTCATGGTGGTGGATGCTATCGCTGTCACAGCTTTGTGTGCCCGAGTAGTTGGCTGCTTCCTGGAGTTTCATTAGCATATTCATCTGAAGAAAGAGAAAGAGACATCCTTGTGAGCAACTATGCACTGAGTCAGCCAGCCCCAGAATGAGCAGGGCCCTGAGCCATCTCAGAGAACTGACTTTTCCCATCTCATCCAAATGAAATGCAGACAACAGTTATGGGTTTTCGCTCACCGACCTGGCTCCTGAATTGTTTCTCTCAAATATGACTACAGCTCTAAACCAGAAGAACAAAAAAAAAAGAAAAAAAAAGAAAGAAAAAAATAGGGCTGCAAGATGACTCTTTTATTTAGGGCTGTGAATGAATACTGTTTCAGCAGGGAAACTGAACAGGAAGCTATCACAGCTGGACATCTGGGTTGGTTGCAGGAGAGCAAGCCAAGCTTCCCAGCTTTTTGGCTGGGAGAAGCAGAGAGCATTGAATGGCAAGTGAAAGTCATGAATGCTCACACACACACACACACACACACACACACACACACACACGCACACGCACACGCACACGCACGCACGCGCGCACACACAGGCACACACACATGCATGCACACAGACACACACGCACACACAGGCTTGCAAACACTATCCCTTGAGAGAGAAGCAGGGGACAGAGTGGAATGAAGCCAGCTGCTGCGCACAGCACACCATCTGTTGATCAGGAGCTGACCTCGAGAGGGGGTAACTGGAGGAAGCGGACCATGAGCATTTGAAGAAGGAGAAGGAAAGAATCACTGTCAAGTATTTGCTGTCACTGAGGCGCTGCCTGAAATATGATTGATATATCACTGAGAACAAAAGCCACCTTCTGGAACAATAGCAGCCCTCTCAAGCTTCTCAACTTCATAGGAGAATGGTAGTGTTTGTTCCAGTAGAGAAAGGACTTGTGCATGAGAGGACCTGGGGAGAAAGACAGCTTGCCAATGTATTATGAAATAAAAGGCTTGGATTTCAATAGATCTGCAGTTCCACTATTAGAGATGGGAGCTAGGAAAAAAAAAAAGAATGTTTAAAAGCAGACTGGGAAAATCGATGGCTCAACAATTTCCAAAGGCACAGGGTAATTGGCGCCTGTCTTCGTGAGGGTCAGAGACTTGTTTTCTTATTGAGGGTTTCTTACAGTACAATAAACTTTATATTGCGTAGTGCCAAATACTAACTACAGTACTTTCTGCAACAATCAAAGTTGTCCTTTATCTTTCAACTCAGAGAAATAGAGCAGGGATATCTAAAACAAGATTTCTTGGTCTCCAGTCAGGCTATGAATATTTGTATGCCAATATGGCTGTGGTTATAGAGTACTTTGAAATCTTGTTGATAATTTCCAGGGTGTTTTTCAATAGCATTTCAGCCTTAACTACCATAATGTACATAAGAAAATAAGATCAAAGTAGTTCCTGATAATGCCTGAAACCTAAGCATTTGATGGGAGCTGGTTTATAAAAGAGAATTGTGCCTGAGCACCCTCCTGACTTAAAAGGAGAAAATGCAATATCCTTTGACCCCAGTGGGCACAAGGCACACATGTGCTACACACACACACACACACACACACACACACACACACACACACACACACACACACACACAGGCAAAATACTCATATACATAAAATAAAATACATAAAAGGAAATGGTGCTATACAGTAGGTTCAGTTAGCATCAGCTCCCAATCTCAGATCTGTAATAAACACATACAGTGGGATTCACTCTGCTTATGGCAGTGTTTTTATACATTAATATCAAAGGACATTATACATTATAAAAAGAAAATAAGTTTACATATGACTCAGTTACCATTGTGATCAACCCAGATTCTCTGCACATCATTTTCCCCTAGTCTCCCCTGCATCCTTCCTATACTCACAGCCAAGATAATGCCTATTATTTGAACATGTTCTTCCATTTATCTCACTCAGGAGCTGAAGCTCTGCCATTCACCCCAGCTCCATGCTCTGTCCTCCACTCTGTTACTAGAATGATCTTCAGCAACTACAAATCTAAACAGATAAACACTAGTGAAAAATACCCACTGACGCTCCACTGTCTATGTGATAAAGTTTTAACTACCCATAAAAATAAAATGGCTCAATGAAATCTAACAGCTGGAAAAGTCTATAGTTTTAACTCTTTTGACCAACTGGTATTTGGCCTCTAACTCTTAATTTTCACTGTGCTGTTTGGCAGTGTTTTGTATGATACTTCCTTGATTTGAGAGGCTCTGCATTCAACCACATGAAAAACTCCAATGCTTGTATCAACTCTCAGCTCTACCATCCCATCTGTGAAGTCCCTTAACAGACTCATAATTTTGCCCTCCAACTCTCCTGCATCTTATGTCGTTTATGCACACATCTTGCATCACTCCTGGACTATGTCCTTTTAAGACCGTAAATGATGACACCTACCATGATCACCAGATCTTCGCATTCAGCACACATGTGCCAACATTTTAAACATTTTGTTGATGCGTGTTTCTTTCATTTTTAAAATAATGTGCAGTGTACCAGAACATTCATTTATCCTTGTTCAGATTCAGAACCAGGCTCCTGACAATAATGATTTCCCTACTAGGATTTCTAATTTAGATTAGATTGCAATACATTTTTGCTTTCCATTGGTGATTATACAAATATACAGAAACAAAGACAGACAGCCTATCCATGTTCACAACAGAATATATCTGACCCAAGGTTTAGTTTTAGATGGTACATTCTGTCACTGAGCATGCGATTCCTTCTTGAGGTTCTCACTAGTAGAATACTGTAAGAGCACAAAGTAGATACACTAAAAAGTGGTCTTTATTCCCAGTCACAATATGTACTTAATACTCTCATAATAGTCACACATTGGAGTTCTATACACTTACTTAAACTACTATAGTGCTTCTAAAACTAAAATTATATGCACTAGCACATTGAGGAAAGTAGAAAGACTACCTCCTTTTTCATTGCCACAGAGATGGCTCAGCGGTTTAGGGCCCTGACGACTCTTCCAGAGGACCCAGGTTCAGTTCCCAGCATCCACATGGCAGCTATTGAACTATCTGTAACTTTAGTTCCAGGAGATCTGGAACCCTCTCACAGACATAAAAACATCAGTGTACACACAAATAAATAAATCTTATAAACAAAAGAGTGTATCCTTCCCCCCCTGAAAGCAACAGAAGACTAATTGTGCGTTTAATGTGGTTAGTTGATATACAGTAAATAGGTTTTGTTCTGTGTACATTTAATTATATTTTATGGGTAAACTTCAGTTTTCTCTTAAATACCCAGGGGATTGTCATGACAACTAAAATATTGATTACCTAAATATCAACACAATTTAATGTATAATCAGAAAAAAATTATAGTTATACAGTTTGAACCAGTTTCAGGGATATAAATGTATATTTGACAAATAAGTTGAATTTTGTTTTTGTTCATTTGTTCATTTGTTTTTTTAGAATTTCAACCAGGGACATTGTGCTGAAGGTAACATTTTGAATGATGCCCTCTATCAGGCTGATTTCATCGATAACCCACTGTCTTGGATACTGACAGCTAAATGCTAATGACCACACCCTGACATCAAGGTAACTCAAGCATAATCGGACGCGCTCACCAAGGGGTCCCCTTCTGTGTCCGTCTGGGGAACGCGCTTTGACGCTGTGGCTTCCTTCGCAGACGTACAGCCCTCGTACCCGACATCTTCCGGCCGTACCTGGAGCAGGGCCGGACCCTCCTGAGGCAGGGATACAGGATTCCACGGGTACGTCTCAAGGACCCACTTGGACGGATCTGCCCACGGTGCCCGTTTCCCGTACATCTGAAAGTTTACCACATACAAATGTCATCGCTATTAGGTGTGTGTGTGGGGGGGGGAGCAAAAAGCGTGACTGCTAATCAGGTGGTTATTTTCACATTCAGTTCCTGTGGGTCTTTCCAGGCGGATTTGCCAGATTTTAAACACATTTGCATCTACACAGCTCACTTAAAACCTCAAAATTCTACAACCTAGAAGGGAGCGACTAAGGTGGGAGAAAGCATGGAGGAGGTTTATTATAAGGAAAGAGAGACATTCTTGTACACGTTTGCTTTGACTAGTAACTTGACAAACCCAGGGCAAAGAAACAAACAAGAAGTCCTCGAGGCTGATTAAAAAAAAAAAAAAAAAATCTGTTTTTACAATAATGGGAGTTCTCTAACAAAACGTACTTTGGAAAGAAAAGAATGAGAGCGGTCTTTTGTCCATTCGCTATGCTCCCGATAACCATTTCCCTCCAGCAGCCTCGTCCCCTCAAAATTTCATCACTTCCCTTTGGAAGACTTCTGATACATTTATAAAAAAGAATACCAAGAAGGGGCTGGAGGCATGGCTCAGCGGTTAAGAGCACAGGCTTTTCCAGAGGTCCTGAGTTCAATCTCCAGCAACCACATGGTGGCTCACAACCACATGGTGGCTCACAACCATCTATAATGAGATCTGGCGCCCTCTTCTGACTTGCAGGCACACGTGTATACATAACAAATAATTTTTTTTTTTTTTTTATAAAAAGGAAAAAAATGGAAACACACTATGAAATCTGTCAGAATCTATGGGAAAACTTTGAGCACAATAAGAAAGAGACACAGGAGACGGGGAGAAAGTCATGTTAGTAGAATACAGGGTAGAAAATAATCTAGGAGTTTCTATGTTAGAAGCAAAGGTTGAAGAAAGAGGGCGCGGGGAGGAAACAGAGACTGGTGAAATTTTGTAAACAAGGGGTAAGGCTGAGAGAACATGGACAAAAATCCACACTTAGGAGGAGGCACGAGTGTGCTTTCTTGTCCCTTGTGACCTGTGCCACCAAGGACTGTTCTGGTCACCAGGGGCTCCAGTGACATGACCTCAGAAGACAGCCTGTGGTTTGTCCAGTAATGACGGGTGCTTTTAGTGGTTCAGGGAGACAAAAGAAAAATACAGGTATTGTGAGTACAAGTCCACGGGATACTTTTAGGTTTCTCCAGAAATGATATTAAAATTTGAATCCGTGATAATATAAAAATTACCTAGGTCCCAATATTCCTTTTGGAGGCAGGGACAGAGGCAGAAATCTGAAGATTACTTGTTTTGCATTGTGATTTAAAAAAAAAAAAAGTAGCTCTCTTGTCAGGTGGTGGTGGCGAATGTCTTTAGTCCCAACACTGAGGAGGCAGAGGAGGCAGATCTCTGTGAGTCAAGGCCAGCCTGGTCTATAGAGCGAGATCCAGGACAGGCACCAAAACTACACAGAGAAACCCTGTCTCAAACAAAACAAAACAAAACAAAACAAAAAAACAAAACAAAAAAACAAAAAAAAATCTGATTGTTTTGTCGCAGCTAAAAACTACTTAATATATGGTAAAAAAAAAATTACACATATGGGTACAACTAATTAAAAGGAAAATGTACAATTCTTTTTTGGGGAGGGATTCAAGACAGGATTTCTCTGTGTGGCCCTGGCTATCCTCAAATTCACTCTGTAGCCCAGACTGGCCTAGAACTCAGAGATCCATCAGCCTCTGCTTCCCAAGTACTGGGATTAAAGTCATGTGCCACTAATGCCTGGCAATGTACAATCTTAAAAAGTTTGTGTTTAGGGGTTTGAAGAATGGTTCAGTGGTTAAGAGCACTGGTTACTTTTCCAGAGGAACCATGTTTGATTCCTAGCAATGACATGACAACTTAGAATATTCCTTTACTCTAGGTCTAGGGTAACTGATACCTTCTTCTGGCCTCCAAAGGCACAAGACATGTATGTGGTGCACATACTTACATCCAGGCAAAATATTCATCACATAAAATAAAAATGAGTAAATCTAAAAGAAGAAAAAAATTACAAGTATAGAATTGACCTAAAAAGACTTGAATGTATATAAAGAACAGATGATGGCCATTTTAAAGAACCAGCTAGGACAGCAAGAGTATGGGAAACCAACAAAAAAAAAATGTGAATATTGTAAGAGGAGAAATTTAAACACACAGAAAGAGCTGATTTGATCGCTGACATTTCAAGAACGGTGGAATCACCAGCAGAAAAACTCAGATTGCGTGTGTCAGCAGCACCCTTTCCAATCAGAACATGTGTCCCTGAGCATCCTCCAGATGGTCCTCAGCAAAGCACCAGCCTTCATCCAAAAATGACTTTACTTTTCCATTCCTCCAAACTGAGAGACCCAGAATTATTTCTTCATTTCTTCTGAGATCAGGTCCCTTGACATGATTAGATCCAGTGATATGACTTATGACCTTTTCTGCCCTACAGGTCACAGATGGGGTCCTTCAAGACTCCCATTATCTAAATTCTTTCGGATAGTAAAGGTTTCAACTTCAACAAGAACTTTCCATCTATTAAAAGTGTACTCTTTTCACCTATTTCATGTGCTAGCTCCCAGCTTGATCCACTATACCAATAAGGTAACTTAATGCTTTTCACACTAACCTAGTACAAATTCTCCGGAGCCACAGCAAGAAACTTGAGGTATATAACTTTTGTTTGAGAGATTATGATTACTTAAACGATTATGACTCTCACCCAAATGGAAGCTTTACACAATTATAATGGTCAAGGAAGAGTTTAACAAATATTATTTACTATAATATAAAAAAAACCCATGTATCTCCAAAAATAGACTTCTAGGAAGTTAAGCAGTTTATATATCACCACTTTGGGGCTCATAAGGCTTCTGTTACTTTTTATTTGTTAGCAAGCACATATGAAATATCAGTCTACATATAAGGATTAGGATAATAGTTTATTAATATGGAAACTGTATCTGGAGGAAAAATAAATTCACCTAAATGTTAATTTTAAAACAAAACTTCTCTAATATAAATGACTTTTCATAAATGATAATATGATTTTTTTTGAATAAATGAAATTTGAGAGACCAGCTTACATTGTAGGCAGCATCATGGTTTTTGAAAATTCATGAAATGCAAAATGTCTGAACTAAAGCTTCTGTGGGATAATCCTTTTCTACACTATGAATATGTATTACTCTCATTTGCTAATAAACAGCTGATTGGTCAATAGCTGAGCAGGAAGAGATTGAGCCGGAGAGCCAGACTAGGAGAATTCTGGGAAGAGGAAGGGCAGAGTCAGAGAGTCACCTACAAGTACAGAGAAGCAAGACAAAAATGCCGTACTGAGAAAAGGTACCAAACTAAACATAGATACGAATTATGGGTTAATTCAAGTATAAGGGCTAGTTAGTAATAAGCCTGAGCGATTGGCTGAGCATTTATAATTAATATAAGCCTTTGTGTGGTAATTTGGGAAGCGGCTGCCAGGTATATGGAAACATGTGGTCGGGACAGGAAACATCTGATTACATAAACCTATGCCTTTTTCCTTGGATGCACTTACTAGTCTGTGTCTTAAGATGTGTAACTGTGTAATTAAATATCTGTTTAGTAAGAACACTTTCAACACCCATTATAACAATCTTAGTCTTCAGTGAATGGTGTTGGGTGAGCTCTTTTGGTGAAGACGTACACAACAGCCTTGTGATAACAGACATACTACTGAATATTTGTTGCTCTTTACTTACTTTAGTTTTCTGCATAAATAGCCAAATAAATGAATGCTTTTGTTTTTTTATAAGAATGAAGGTCTGGCTTCCTTTTGGCTTCATTTTTTTTCTAAACAGTAATACAAGTCAAATACTCTACCTGAAGGCCTTCCCTCACTGCCTCCAGAACGTAAGGTACCAAGGAATAATTCCAGAGGTCCATGAACCACACCCTAGAACCTTCTACATCCATGGGGCAAGGAAGGAAAAGCCGTGGACCTGAGAAGATACAAGCAGTAAAATGTTTCAGAAACATCATATTTACCAATCCAAACGCATGTTTAGAGATGTTTTGAAGAAATATAACACACATTCCTAAAAAATTCTAATGTTGGTCGGCCCAATAGTTATGAAAACATGTTCATGAAAGGTTGAGTCTCCAGGCCTCGTTTTTCCTAAGAATGAAACATTAATAGAAGGCAAAACACAGAGTGAAGAGAAATAGTGAAGTCTATGATCCAGTCCTGTTTTACAAACAATGTAAAGTTCAGTTCCAAGGAGATGAATTGTCAATTACAAAATGCTATCATTTGCAGAATTTGGAATCAGTCTAGACACTCTGAGCTGAAGACAGAAATAATGCCTGCAGCTGAGGATTTCTGATGATTGACAGCAGTGGGAAATGCACTTCTGCTCATGAAACTTAAGAAGGAATGGAAAAACAAATACCATTGTGCCCTCGAAAGAGGGTAATTCGGTTTTATCTTTTGAAAAAAAAATGTGAAACACAAAACTTATTTATAAGAAGTCCATTATTTTTAAATAAAGTCTTCTCTCACAGCCACATCTGAATGAGCTAATAGATAAAATATGTGAGTTATTCTTACTAGCATAAAAAATTACTCTGAGTACTTTTTCTTTGGACTGGTATTCTGATTTTTGGATACTTTCCTATTTCAAACTTAATTTTACTCTCCATAATTGTCAGATACAATGAAATAATTGTAGATATAACACTCAGAAAAAGACAACTTTAGAAAGGAAAAGAATCCCTTAATCTATGGGAGCTTTGAAAAGCCTAGCTTTCCTTGTTATTTAACCATCCAATCTGGTCACCTTTACACAGTGCTTTCAGCACCTGGAAAATGGAATATTTTAACTTTGGAACTCACCGATAGTGACATCAGAAGAGCTATGTGTTTCCAAAAAACTGTTGAGATGATGCCATGTCTTCGGAATCCAATCTATGATTTTCACTAGGTCGTTATTGCGTATATTCCTTTCAATTTCCATCTCTATCAGTTTCCTTCGAAGATACCTGCCTAAGAAGCCTTTCACTGGTTCTGTGTGGTTTGAACACAATACCCATCTACAAAAAAGAAAAGAAAAAAATCAGATACCCTTTTGTAAAACTTAAAATTTATTTCCATAGTAATTTTCATTGCAATATAAAGCACTAATGTTCCCATATTAATTAATGGTCTCAGTTAGATGCCACAAGCATTTAGAAAATCTATTATGATTAGAGTTATAATACGGTGAATTTTCTTTCCTAGCTTCCACGAAGCTTATGTTCTGAGAGTGAGTGGGTGCCTACATGCTGAGAGGGCTTCTGTGGGAGAATCGTAGATCCTGAAATAGGAGCTCTCTTCTCAGTCTTCCCTCAGAAGCAGGGCGCTCTCTCTTAGCCAGGGAAGTAGTGAGCAGGGAAGGAAACACGTTCCCATTACAGATTAGAGATCACAGGATGTCTGCTTGAAAAAGAGTGCCAGGAGAAGTGAGAATTATCTCCAAGACACAGGTCACTGCGGGCAGGATTGTCAACAACCAAATGGAAAAACAGCCATCCTTCTGATTAAAAAGACACAATAACATGTACACACAGAGCACAGCTAGGCAGGCAAGGGTGCATGCATGTACACACACACACACACACACACACACACACACACACACACACACACACAGTCCTTCAAGTCCTTACCTGAAATTGTGATGTAGCTCTAAATTTGGTGATGAAGAGACTCCCTGATTCATTGTGCCAATAATATAAGGACTGATAGGAAAAAATAAGATAATGAGGTCTGTGCTAGAGAGAAAGCGATTAAAAGAAAAACAGTTAAGAAAACCAAACACTATTCTATTTTAACAGTAGGCTTTAAGAGGGAAATTTCATAATGCTTAATTGGAAAGTGACAAAAGTAATAGGAATGTAATTTCTATTGGGGACTCTAACTTGAGCTCTGGCACTCTGGGTAACACTTCTTCCTCTCCAATCTGAACCTTAGTTTC